TAAAATGAACAAAAAATTAATTTATAAGAAGTTATAGTAATTTTTATCAATTATAATATTTGATATAACTAAAACTTTTAATATTTAGAAAAAAATTTCACCAATTATACCAAGGTTAAAACCAACTTTTAACTCTCACCTTACAAAATTGGTAGGTTGTAGCCCTAAATCTTATAATATAACATTTTTAATCATTTACCTTACAAAAATTGATGGATTTTAACCCTTCACCTTATAAAATTAGTAGGTTTTAGTCCCTCACCTTATATTATGACACTTTAAGCCCTTTATCTATATGAATTGAAGAAAATAACTCTCACTTAACATCATGTTATAATATTTTGTTAGTTTTGTTAATTGATTGTAAGTTCTGTTAACTGACTATTAGTTTTGTTAACTAGCTATTAGCATCCATTAACATTCCGTTAATGGAACTAACAAATAAAATTGAATTTAAATTTCATGTTTTCTATAACGAATTAACGAATATTAACAGTAAACTAACAGAACCAACAGAATGTTATAACCTAATATTATGTGAGAGTTATTTTCTTCAATTCATATAAGTGAGAGGCTAAAAATATTATAATATAAGATGAGATGTTAAAACTTATTAATTTTATAGGGTGAGGGGTTAAAATCTATCAAATTTGTAAAGTAAAAGGTTAAAAATGTTATATTATAAAATGAAGAATTAAAACCTACCAATGTTATAAGGTAAGAAGCTAAATGTTGATTTTTACCTGCTATCAAACATGTATTAAATTGGTGTAGGTTTATTTCACTGACCCATTGCCTCTTTTCAAAAAAATGGAAAAAAGTCCATTTGACTGACAAATTGTCAATAATCACACCAATGCCACGACTCAAAATGTTGAATCAAATTGTCAGTGGGTTATTATCATATTTTAAATAATTGATATTATATATTTAATATAATTATTTATTATATTTTTATATTTTATTTTTTAAAAAATTATTTTATATTTTTTAATTTATTAAAAAATATAATAACTAACTAAAATAAAATAATGTGATATTAATAATAAAAAAATGTGATAATAACACCCCTCAATTTTTTTTTTTTTACAAGGGTAATGATTAAAAAGTTAGTATGAGTTAGTTGTTAACAATTGGGATTTCCAAAATGATAAACATTCCACTTCTCAAATGAGGTGTACAGTCATTAGACTGCAAGTTGGTGGCGTTCACAGCGGTGACAGAGCTTGAAACCCTGACCTCTGCCTTACCTAAGGCTTCACCATTCCACTTCTCAAATGAGGCGCGCAGTCATTAGACCGCAAGTTAGTGGAGTTCACAGCTGTAACAGAGTTCGAAATCCTAACCTCCGCCTTACTTAAGCCCTAAGACTTGGGTGTGAACCATTGGACCTCGGGTCCGGTTCGCAATAACACCCCCCAAATTATCCCTTCACTCACGGTATCTAGAAAAGTTTCAAGGAAATAGAAGCAAAGAATACCAAAATTCCACTTCTATTATGGGTGTTATTATTGTGACAGTAAAAATATGTTAAGCAATTAATTTTTCAGTTTTTGTTCTTAAATGATAATATTTAAAAATATCAATTTA